TAGTTTTCCCCTCGAGAAAAAATATTTTCATAAAATTTCACCATTGAAAAATATTCTGTCCAGTTGCAGTTTAGCGGGCATTCTGTGTTTATTTAAATGCGTATATATGTACACACACGCAATTTCAACATTTTTCTTACTTTTTTAACATTAAAATTCAGAATGGTCCACATAAGATGAGATATGTACAAACACATGCATGCCTGCATGGGTCATTTTTTCTTTACTACTTGATTAATAGGATATGTTGGAGAAGCAGTATCATTTTTTTTACTCTGGAGCGAATCTGTTCCCTGCTGCCTGTAAATGTTATTAGAGCCATCTCCATAGCAACTAATGGTGATGCTCAAGAAAAGTGTTTCCAAAGTTTCAGATAAAGAAGTAGATCATTAGAATCCTTTAGAAAGATGTATGTTTATGTAGATGGAACTGATAAGTGAAGAGAGACACAAACTAAAATAATCAGGGCTGTGATGCCAGCAAGTGTAAAGGCATGATGTGTTTAGTTTTTACAGCCACCTTGGAGTTATTACACTCTTGAATTGATGGAAGAATGCTTTTTATCTTCAGAGAATTTATGTGCTAGGTTTGAAGCTTGGTAATGATAAGTCAGCTTTCTTTTTGCAGAACTGCCTGAACTAGTCAACAAAGAAAACAGGTTTTGCTTGTTTTCTCTTATGTGTATTATTATGAATTATTATGATTAATATCACAAACATGAATATTTACCTCATTTTAACAGCTGAAATAAAATTATCTCAAAAGTCAAGGTCTATTTTGTCTGTTTAGTTATACAACTCTGATTAGCATGGTTTTGAACATCTTACATGAATTGTTCGTGTCAAAAACTGCTTGCCAGTGTCACTGATATTTACAGTTCCATTGCCAAATTACTCTGTATATTACACGTAACTTTACAGATAAACCAGACGTCCAGACAGTTCTTGAGCACCTCCTGGGTAAAAATCATGTAATGAGCATGAAACTGATAGACCTAGCTTTGTTTTCTATTGCACAGACCTTCGTAGAATAGAACAACTCAACTCTCACTGACTATAGGAAAAGCTGAGGGTCTCTTGCATCTCAGCACATTTAATTAATAACTGAGTATTTAATGCATTCATCATACATAAAATGAAGAGACACAAGTAATCGAAAAAAAGCAGTGCTGCTTCTGGACAGGGCAGTCTTTCAAAAGAGAAAAGATTACCTCTACAGAAGAGAAGGAGATGTCACTACTTAGTGATAAAGAAGCATTCTGCCTTAATTTGAAAGGACCTGCCTAATGAGCCATGCTTGGTTCCCTTAGACAAATTTATTACTCTCACTTAACATGGACATCATTATTAATTAGGCAAGCAGGAGTCATACCATCCTGTCAGCAGAGATGCTGGATTACCCTGAAGCTGGGTGTAAGCCAAGGACTTTCCTCACAGCCCATCCTTCAGCAGGACTACTTTCCTTCCAGTAGGGAATTAGCATACTGCTACAAGTTTTGTGACTGTTCCTCTTCAGTGAATATGTATTAATTCGCATTGGGAACATCAGGAACAAATGGTACAGCTAATCATTAACAGTATGAAAGAGTTTTTAAACAATCAACATGAAATTGGCTCATGTCCATCACTGAGTGATTATAAAAATACAGAGTCATAGCATATTCTTAAATCGCTAGAATGACATTCTGTATTTTAGCTGAAATCACCATTTGATAAAAGTTAATTAATGAAGATTCCTGGTTAATCCAGACCTGGTTTTGAGACTCCTGACAAGTTTATCTTAAATTTGCAGAGACTTTTGGACAATTCTTGGTTGGATGCCTAAGAAAAGCTTTTGCTGTAAATTCCTACCTTTCAAGGACATTTGGATAGCTGTCTTTTAGCTTTGCCTACATATTGTTTCCTGTGATTATCCATTGTAAAAATGGAAACATGTTTAGAACTATAAATTTGGAATACAGCTATCACTTTTTAATTCCTGAGAACAAATGAAAAACTAAAGGTCTTGCATCAAAAAGGAGCAGAAGCAGTGCTGAAAGGAGCCTTGCACCAAATTATTTCTGTAAGTAGAATGAAATGCCACTAAGAAAGAAACACCTAGTATGTATGTCATATCATATCTCATGTGCTTTTAAAAAACTGAAGTAAAACATTTAAATACATTTGACTTGAACTTTTATTACCATGGATTTAGTCATAGACATTGATATCAAAATAGCCGGTACCTACATTATTATTCTGTGGAAAATTATTATGTCTTTGGAAATGTTGAATGTTGTTTTAATTCCAAATAAGTCCTTCACAAAATGTAAATTCCAATAATAAATAAATACATAAGTACATATGTGTGTTGTTTGTCATAATATGATGTAGTTGTTGAAATGTTCTAAAATCTTTGCATGTAAACCACTGAGGGGAAATGCTACCTATTATTGATTAGAACTTTTCTAAATCACAGAATGTTTTCATTTTCATATATAAATAGAAAATAACATGGATTAATACTGTAGATCCCATTTAGCTCTTCTTTCTCTTCATCCTCTAGGTTTGATGAACTGCTTGGTAAAGTCTAGTACAATTATTGCTGGCAATGTTAATAATACAAAACACAAGATTTTATTTAATCACTTGAAAGACTTTTTCTGAGATTTTTGTATTGTTCAAACAAATTTTAACAGAGATCAATCTCAGTAAAAATTTTAACAATTTATTTTTCATAGTTTACATGAGAACTCATATGTTTTTCATAGCCACCATCTTCTTCTCAATAGGAAAACAGCCTGTAAGAATGGGAGAATCTAACAATGTAATTTAAAAGCATCAAACCTTAACTGTGCCCAGCTAAATAGAGATATGCATTCTGGAATTGAGCACTGCACTAAACTTCCTCCCATTTGAAAACAAGGGCTATCAGTTCTACTGTGATAATAACAGTCATTCCTGTGATCCCACATAGTGCCATAGTCCTGTTTCAAATAAGATAATAATTAATTAATAGTTCTCTACTGACTCTTGTCAAGCATAGATGAAGATGAATTCAAAATATTTTTAGTTTCTTCTGAGGTTGTAGCTATGAGGAACTAAAACCTTTCCTGGGAAAGATACATACCTTGCACATGAGTTTTGTCAGACTCCACGCTGAAAAGTTCTCTTTGGTTATGAACCAACAGTTCTGGGAGCTCTGGGAGCATAATGGGTTTAAAACCATGCTTACCACCTGTTAGACGAGATGTAGTTATACTATACGAAGTATCTTTTTTTTTTTTTTTTAGTAGAACAGTGAAGGTTGACCAGTGCTTTTACTCATTCAGTTCCTGTTCATGGGTTTTGTATAGTCAAGTGATAGATGGTATGTTTTATGTTGCTATACATATCCACATAATTAAACATCTGTTGCAGTGCTGCTGCTCTGTGCACTCTGAGGCTGAGCATGTAGTAGAGCATAGGTTCACCTACACAGCCCTCTGAACACTTTGAAAAAAATCTGTGAGAATATTAATTTTTTGGGGAATGCCTTTTTAAATATCTAACAGTCTATGTTCATTCTGATTTTTCCATCCATGACTTAATGCTATTGATCTGCTAAGTTTAGGACTCAATGGAAGTAGGGAAGGAGATTGTTCCGCAGTGACGAGTCATTTTAAAATCTGAGCAACTAGGTTTTGTCATGATGATTGCAGAGAGGGCATGTTGCCTCTGTAAGCCATTCTTCTAGAAACTGTAAAGCAGTTTTGAACCAGGAGCATTCATGAACGCATTCTGTACTGGCTTTCTTGAGCAGGTTTGGCATATGTCTACTGACTGAAAAGAAAGGGGAAAATAGTGCTTACTCAACCATTGTCTAGTTATCTGCTTGAGAGTAATAATTTCATACAGAATCCTGCTTTATATATTTCCATTCTCAATCAGATTTAAGTTCCTGGTTCTCTGCCCCAGAGAGAGCTGGCTTGAATAAAGTAAGGTGCTCTTCCAGCTTGTATCAGAGGATTATGGTCCCCTTGGTCTATTCAAGTCATTATAACCAGCAGGAAATATTGTCCTGTGAGTCTCCTTTACTGATCTCAACTCTGCCCTCTGCTATGGGGTAGCATTGTAGAAATTGCACCCAAGCTAAATATACCCAGATTTCCAGATGTATTCGCAAGGACATCTGGTGAGCTTGTGGTTATGACAGCTGCTTTGATGTAGTAAGGACAAAATTAATTAAAACTCTTTCTGCCAGTGTATTTTTCACAAGAATAAATTGCATGCCAGAATTTTAGCATAGAACATCCTCTATCAAAAAAGAATTGAAAAACATTTTTGTAATGGATTTCCTGATCGCCTTGGTTATTCTTTGATTTAGTCCCAATTAGAAATGCTAACAATGATTAAATATTATATATTTATAACCTGATATCCATTGTGTGGTGTTGTGTTGAAAGTAAAGTCAAAAGTAACTTCCTCCTCCAGGTCCAAAGCAAACTACTTAACCAATGGCATCTGCTATATTCTCTACTGGCAGTATGCATCTACAAACAAATTTTATGTGGGATTTTGTAAGCCACCAGAAATACGAACTTGTTTTTTCTAGCCTCTATAGGGAAAATGGGACAGATGGACTTTTCGTACTTCTTAAATAAATCTCTTCCTTTGGCAAGCCTTCCAGAGTAGAGTGGGTGAGTCAAATAGGTTGGAGAAGCTGATATTTGCGTTCCTCTCATGTGAATAGAAAGTGGATACCTTTTATAGAATTTATCTAATTTAAAAGTGTTTAGCTAATAACATTTTTGAGAAGTGATTTGTTAAAATACAGGAAGTTATGCCAATATGCTGTGTTGTTCTGTATCATTTAAAGTTCATTTAAATACTCATGTTTAGACCAAAACCCTAATTTTCAGTTCCTCATTGTAATTTAATTTAAAAATGCCATTTAAAAATACCAGGTTTGAGGCATAGATGTTTGCAATTAAAAATATTAATTGATGTATGCCAGATTATATAACTTCAGGTTTTCATCAGGACAGTGATCTACTGGACCGGCGGAAACATTGCTTCAGTGTCCAGTCTGAAGCTGGAGAAGATCTTTACTTTTCTGTGGAACTAGAATCTGACCTAACACTATGGGAAAAAGCCTTCCAAACAGCAACTTTTTTAGAAGTTGAACGGATACAGGTGAGAACAACTGCCTTGATGATTACCTTTTAGTATACTAACAAATTGGGTCTGTGTGAAATGATGATGCAATTTAAGAAATTCTCTGAAGCCCTGCAACTCTCAAATTATTATCGATTTATGTATGTAATTGCATAAAAAACATTTTGCTGTTCCCAAACAGCTTGCAATCGCAATCTTGTGTTTAGGAGAGATCATCTCAAATACAATCTTTGAGTCCTGTGACTTGGTGATACATATATTTTTAACAAAAGTTCTTGGACAGAAGAGAAAAAACAATCTATAATCAGGGACAAACCCTGTTTTGCCTGTCTTGTTTAGATATTCTTACATACTGTCTTACATGCTAATTTATTTGTTATTGGATAACATAAAAGTATATTGAAGGAATTAAATTGTCCTTGTAATGATCAGGGATGAGAGCACACTAAGTGAGAGTACTTACGGGATGCAAGCAAGAACAACATTATACCTCAAATACATTATTCTTTTTTAACACATTTCTTGTCTCTTGTGTATTTATTTCCTCAGTTGTCAGATGGCAGAGCAGAGATGGATGACATTCAAGTACAGATTACTAGTTATTTTTTATAGCAAAATTACATATCAGAATGTTTGAAGATAACTGCTTTTCTCACATGACCAAAAAGTCATGCTTTTTTGATTTAAAATAGGAGAAAAAAAATTCCCACAACAATTGTAATTCATCTCATCCTAGGTGTTATATTGATGTTCTAATACATGTGATTGGAACAGCTTTAGTTGATTTTCTGTGAGCTATTCTGTATACAAACCTACAGAAGTCATGTTAGCATATTAGCCTGTGCAAGTATTGGCTAATGCTCACTTTCCCTGCACTCATTTTCTGTGTCGTCCTGGGAATGCAAGCACTGACAGTTTTTTTATTTAGACAAATTGTTAGTTAGTTATATATTAGCTCTCTTCTGACCTATAAACCAACACATGCAGATGGACTGAGTTAGTATATACTAATGATGATCCATTTTGCAAAAACTACACTGCCGTCAGTTTTAATGCATGTTACCTTTCTCGGAGGAGTCAAAGAAGGTTCAACTTTTATCTTTGAATTCATGCACTCTGCTACCTTTTACAGGAGGTATTCTTTTGAACTCTGTCGTACTGAAAAATGTAAGTTTAGTTTTTCTGTATAAAAGTTGCAACAGTATATATCCTCTGATAATAAATATTTGAGATGTTTTGTCTTTCTCATATAAGTGACTGCAAGATTGTTTGTAGAAGCAGTACTGTGCCATCAGGAAAAAAAATATATGGCAATTTTCTTGAATAACTTTGAGCCCAGAAGCTGCTTAATATTTTTTCTTCTCTAATATTGATTCCTACTGTAGCATTTCTTGTTTAGATTTTTCTCTTGGGTTTTAGAATTACATTTATTCAAAATTGCTCCCATGTTTCCCAAAATTTATTTCCCTAATAATCCTAACCTCAGATTAATTTTAACATTTCCACCTTTCTTTTCATTCTACTGATATTCAGGGTAACAATTACAAAGTCAGAGTAATGATTTCCTGAGATTAATTGATTATAGAAAATTTGTTAAAGCGGACAAACAGGCTTCTCATGACAGATTACTATTGTGAAACACATACTTATGCTTTCAACTTTTTTCCTTTATTTCCTTGCCAGTTTGGAAAAAAATAGAATGTTAATTTTTAATATAACTGGTCGTGGCCTCCTCATTTTTCTTTCAGCAATCCGTTACTGCTTTCATTCACCAATTTGCAGATTCAGATAAAATCTGGTTTGACTAAGTAGTGGTATAATTTGTCTCTGACAAGTTCTTTCATTACTCTGTGAGAAAAAAAGATGTCAAGTTCAAAATTGAGGTATTAACTATACATTTTTACTAAAATTGTGGTTTATGTAATCATATTCATATGAATATTCATATTTTATGGGACTGATAATCCAGCTGTGTGCAGGTTTGTCTTACTATGAAATCATATCATTTTGGAACTATAACTGCAATTTAAAGCTGCCATTTAGAATTATTCAAATGTGTTGTGTACTATTTCAAGAACATACATATAATAACACAGTTACTCAATGAGTAAAAATTGACATTAATATCCCTGAGAGATTAATCAGGGCCCTATTCTGATGTAATTCTAAAGAATACGTCACAAATTTTTTTTTTTTTATTTTTTTTTTTTTTAAATGCCTCCCTATAAGTATGTAATACTGTTTAAACCTAATTCATAGCTTTTTCCAGAGGTATATCTAAAACAAAAGTTAAGCAGGTTTTTCTTTTAGGAAAGAAATGTATTAGAGGAGAGATAGTCAAGGTGATAATATTTAGCAATAATACGCTGTACGGTGCTGTAGTGATGCCACTGTGGTGTATTACAGTCACTCTTTGGATAATATTTTTAGAATAGTAAGAGAAGCTAATCCATTTTCATCATTATCTATTAAAAGAAAAAAAAATAGTTGAAATGGAGGTTCTTGTTCCTTACTATCTCACATCATTGCTACATGAAGAATCTGAGACTACTATAGCTTCCATAATGTTTTGCAATTGTATACGATTGTCAGGTTCCCTTTGTGCTCCACTGCTTTATGCTAAAATTTTCACCACTTCCGTTGTGTATTTATATTGTAGTTGTTTCTTTCTTGTTTATATTATAGTTTTTTGTTCCCTAATATATGAATTCTTGTGTAAATTGCTTTGTGTTACAGTAGTTTAACATTTGTCTCCATTGAAGTTGAATCTGAGTTTGAAAGTCTGAATTAAATCTTGGATTTATAGTATGGTTTTCCTTAGCTTCAGAGATAATTTAGACTAGGTTTACAACATATCATTCTTTCCATAATTTAAACTATGTGTATTGAGGTAGTAGAATCTAAGGAACAACTTTGGGTTGTCTCCTTCAGCCCCTGTCTGACCTGCTGAATTATTCAGGAACCTAATTTAAGATTCTGTATTCTGCGAGAGAACAAGAAATGAGTGCTGAAATATCTCCTGCTTCTTTTGGGAGAAGGTTTTCATGAGCTTTATGTGAGAAATCAACAACCAAAGCCAAACAACCACAGTATATATTATTAATAGTCACTTTTAATGATTTAAAGTGTTTGTTAAACATAGAAGAAATTTTAAATTATCAAGTCTCCTGGGAAGAATTTCTGCATTTTTGTTTTCTCCAAATCTCTGAATTAAAAGACAAATTAAATAAAATAAAGATGAGAAAAATCTTAACAGAGTTAATGAGTGTCTGAAGGTTCACATTCCTACTCTGACCTGTGACCAGAATCACGTGCATGTGCATACAACACATGCATAAAGCAAGGGACATCCTTCCCCAGAGGAACTAAAATCTCACTGTCCAGAGATCCTGTTATTATTCTCACATTTTTGCTTCTCTGAATTGTTTTCAACATCATGGATTACATGGTCTGAGGGCATAGACTAGTCTTATGTATGAGTAAAGAATAAGTAAAAAAATCAGCTACTACTGGTGGGCTGCACCTTACAATGCAGTTTCTTCCTAAGGATAACCACACTGAGCTGAACTAGATGACATTTCTCCACAGACTGTGCACTGCCTTTTGCAGAAAGAACTTTTAGTCTGGGAAGCAGGTTACTTTTTCAGTGCAGCTTTGAACCAAGACTGGTATGTCCTGTTTTTAATAAATCTTATCTCCTCAGTGAGGCTAATTAGCCCAGGCACAGTGCTGTGTTTAAGCAGAGGTAGCTGTGTCAGCTCAATGTGTCGCTGCAATGCGCATTGTAGGTTGACCTCTGGTGTTAAGGTTGGAGGTCAGAGGAGTTAGATGGCAATACCTATTGTAAACCTGATATACTGTCTCCTTGTCAAATTTTAATTCTCAGTGAAGGCTTTATGTCTGTTCTAGATATCTTAGAGGTCTACAAATAAAAATGTAGTTTACATCTTGTAGGAAGTTAGCAAGATATTTCTACAAAACTGTGCATATTTTGCTTTGCATGCAAAACCTGAACATTTTTTCTAATGTGAATTCATTAAGGAGTGTCACGTGAAATATATTACTTTACACACTTTTTTTCTACTAATGAGATGTTGCCAAAGGCAATATCCTCTCGTTTTCTAACAACACTGATTTACATTCAAACTTTGCATCTTCATAGCACTTTTATGGCGTAGCTGCTCAAAAAAAGGCGCCACTTTTATTGGCTAATGTACACACAAATACCATATGACTGCAAACCACAGAGCTGAATCATGGATTTGATAATTAAAATTTTTGGCAGTTTATGCAGTAATAGTTATAATGACTAAGTGCACCTCTATACTGTATGAATTCAGATTTTATACATCTAGTCAAGTACATAAAGTTCTTTCAGTGTTGGAAGGTACAAGAACAGACCAGTTGCTCCTTTTCCTCTCAACAGCAGCAGTAGAAAACCTTTCATTTACTGACAGACAGTTACAGTTTTTGAACACCTTTGGTGGATCACACAGTGACATACGAGTTACTCAGCAATAACACAAAATCATCTTGTAAGGCACATGTCATGGATTGTTTTCACTTCTTAGAGTGAATATAAGATTCTGTGAGTTATATAGATGGCCATGCTTTGTCAATAGACTGGCTTAAATGCTGCACTTGTGCCCCACTGATAATTAACAGAGAGTGTCCTTCAGCCTCAGTGATGGGTATCACTGTGTTTGAAACCTGGATTCTAGAGCGCCAAGGTGTGTGCACAAAGATTAACCACCAGCTGTTTGTATGTAACTGGAACCTGATTTGGTCAGTGAAAGCAGTTCACTCAATGAATTGATCAATTAAAGCAATATTTCAGTTCCAGAAACAAAATCTCTATTGAAGTGTAAGAAAGTCAAATTTAAAATAACCAGGGAACCTATATAGGTATTAACTTTTCCATTTACTTGCTTTACAATGTCTATGTCCAGTCTTAGAAGCTGCTAATCAGCCTTTCAGCTTCTTGTATTCTGGGGAAGACCTTTTAGAATCCAAAGAGCCCACCCAAAGAAAATATAAGTAGAGGCATGTCATTTATCCTGGATAATCAAAACGCCAAAAAAATAATATCTGGTCATTTACATTGTTCCCATGTTTACATTTTACATTTTAGGTCTTTGACACATTATAGATCATGGAAGTCTTTACTCTCATTTCATGTATTTAGTGGCTACAGCAACATTTGAAGAATATAACTAAATTTAATATGGAGGGTAACATTTCTATAAAATAACTGTTGCTTCTTTAAAGAATTTACATCAGATTTGGAGATGTTTTAATTTTTTTACATATTTTGTAATGAAAAATACGAGTTTGTCATTTTGTACCTGAAGTCAGCCTTTATGCACAGCAATAGTTTTGATCATACTGAAAATGACACCAATAGATGTCTCACAGCACCGAAGCGTGATGTTATGGAAATAAATAGGTGCATAGATTTAAAAATAATAGAATGAAAAAGTTTTGGGATTTCTCATAGAAACCTTTGGTTCACTAGCTGAAGCAAAAAAGGTATTTCATATAATTATATCAGTTGCTAAATGGTATGAAATAATACCTTTTTCACTGAGATTTAGGACAACACAAAAAAACCACCCCAGCATACCAAAGATATATTTTGCAAATTCATTCTTTTTTTTTCTTAAAAAGATAAAAGGAATATATTAATGTTAGAGGAAGTTACTGGGTAGCAAAGCAAATAAAAAGAGTTCAAAAATAATGAACCTTCCCTTTTAGCAATTGTCATTGGCAAACCACTGAAGCAATTCTGATTCTGATTTATTTTTTCCCTAATGGAAGCAAAGCCTCTTTTTACAATACTTAGAAAACTTCATCACTGATATAAATCCTTTGATTGGAAATACACTAGCAATAAATTGACCTATTTACACACAAATTACTTATTTCTGATAATAATTTTGAGATAAATACAATTTAGAATGAAGACACAGAAATACTAGTCTTAGAAAGAATTTGAAGAAATGTGTTCTGTGTTAACTACCTTCTCTTTTCTTTTACAGTGCAAGACATATGCCTGTGTTTTGGAGAGTCATCTTATGGGACTTACCATCGACTTCAGCATGGGCTTTGTCTGTTTTGATGCTGCCACAAAGGTGAAGTTCTAAGACTTGTTTCCATCACATTATTATTATTTCTTGTTATTTCTTATATTTTGGGATAAGTAGTACATCCTTAAAATGTACTTCTTTTTGTTATTGAAACAGATCATCTCCTGCCAAATCTCTTGTGCTCTAGTTTAAATGTTGGGGGTGATTTCTAAATGATGTGAGAAGTTGTATTCTGTTACATGCTTGTTATCGAAAAGTCAATACCAATATCAATCTGAAACAAGCATCAAATATTCATTCTTTTATTTCACATGAAAGCCTAGACTGATTCAGTTTGACGTTTCTTTTGCTGGTTCATCCTTGATTTTGAGAGGAAATAATCTTCTTGGTTTCAAGCTGATCTGTGAGGTTTGAAAAGAACCTGCCTTTCTCTTCTCCTGTTTCATGTGTGGGAGTGTGTGTTATTATAGCAATTCTTAGTTTATGTTTTAGGTATTTTAGTTCAGGTGTCTGTAAAAAGAGAAATCAGCCATGGTTGGTATGTCTTATGCATTTCCCATCAGCCTTAAAAAAGCTCAGTACAACTGATGAAATATTTTGAAAAAGTGAATTCATTTTGAAAAGTGAATAATATGGCATCAATTTCCAGATTAAATTATCGCAAATCCAAATCTCAGTCAAATCATTGAGAGCATACATATGTTTGCGTTTGCACTGATTGCTAACAAGAACTAAAATGTAAGCAGGCTTTATTACTACTAATTTACACTGCTGTTATGGGAGAATATGAAATATTTTTTCCAAATTCCGCTTCTCTTCCATACCTGTTTTCCTTTGACAGGCTGCAGCATTGCCGCCAGCAATTGCTGAAAATGTCCTTTCCTCTCCAGAATAGGCTCCTATCCTCTATCTTAAGTCAACCCTTCCCACCACATTGCTACCACCTGATTCCGATTGAACCCTTTTAATCTTCTTACTCCATTCTACTGTTTGCACAAGGTGTGGTGAATTTGAAATTCAAATACTTGTGTATACATATTTCTTTTTCTTAAGTATACAATCTTGTATGATTCATGAGTGAAATATAAGACTGTCAAGAAGTATTACTCAAAAAATCAGTGTAACAGAATTAAAACACAGTGGCTTGGAAAAAAATGTGTAGATTTCGCTTCACCCTCCAGTAATATTATAGCAATGCTTTTGTGTAAAGGTAATTTGCATCGCCTTCAAAGCTCTTGCACTTCTCTGATTCTCAAAAGACTTCAGACTGTTTCAAAGCCATTATCTGAAGCAGAAGCATACACGAGATTTCAGATAGCAAAGCACAAGCCCAAGCACAACTGCCTTCATACATGTTACCATGGCTGAAGGGTGTGGTGCCTTTTTGGTATGTCCTTCGAATATGTACAGCAGATTTCCAGATATAGAAAAAAACTCTAGAAATCTCTCTAGACATCTAGAAATAAAGAAGTCTCTTGGTTGGTACCACTCATTTACCACACTTACATATAGGCTGCAAGGAAGAGCAGGGGGCTCCTGCTGATCTGTCAAACCTACTATCAACCCCTTTCTGTGTCGCTGTTCCTCAAAGCTCCTGACACCACCCAGGAGCTGTATGCTGTGGCAGAAGTAATTCCCCCTGAAAAAACGCTCTCTCCCCTTATTCAGTGCTACAATTAGTAGTTTTTCCTTCCACCTTTTCCACTTGAACTCTCCATGTTCTCTCTGTAATTCTTGCACTTTCTGTATTTTCATTTCAGACTGATAAAATCAATTTTGCATTAATGCTTGCTGTCTTTTCATTTTAAAGTGGCTTTTATTTTCCTGAATGGAAGGAGGGACCATGCTGATAAAGGTCAGGAGTTAGTACCCAGAGAATCATGAAGGTTTCAGGGCTTGTTTCATTTTTCCGTGATACAGAAAGACAGGCAAGCAGAGAGTGCAGTTTAAGATAAAGACACTATGTTAAAAATGTCTGATCTATTAACATGCATACCAGAGATATGCCACATACTAATCTGTTTAGGAGACATAGAGAACCTTTACACTGGAAATTCAAGAAAATAAATGGAGAGCAATAACTGAGACTATTAAACTAATTTACAGACTTATAATATGAAGACACCAAGACCTATTTTGTTCTTTCTCACTTATAAAACCAGACCTCCCAAAACGGAGCCTTTAATGCATAAACCCCACAAGAATCATAAATATTTTAGTTCTATAAGCAATATGAAAAAACTTATTGGAGACTCTTCTGGCAATTGACAGAGAGTTGTGTGTCACATATGCTAGTCATACTGTCTTGCAGGTCTTCCTATCACTGCTTACCAATCTTTGGGAAAACTCCTTCATTCATCTTACAAAAGTTTTGTTGAACATATAATGCAATTCTTTTGGTGCCCCGAAACTTGTTATATTCTTCTGTTACCAATTAAAAAGCACATCATCCAGAAATAAAAAAGTCTAACAAAACCAACACAGACTGTGCAGCTCCCTTCAAAGTTAAGGTTTTTTTATAGGCAAATACAGATACACAATTTTGACTTGAATGGAAGTCACACATAGGCAAATCAGGAGGACATCTAGGGTGCAGTGATCATGAGATGATTGTTTTTGATCACTGGAGAAACAAAGAGAGGGGTTAGTAAAACTTCCATCTTAGACTTCCAGAGGGCAAACTTTGACCTGTTCAAAAGACTGATCAACAAAATCCATTGGGATGCTGCCTTGAAGGATATGGGAGTCCAGGAAGACTGGTCATACTTCAAGAGCGAAGTCTTAGTGTCACAGGAGCAGGCTGTTCCGTGTGCCAAAAACCAAGAAGGCGGGGAAGGAGACTGGCCTGGCTAAACAGGGACCTTTGGCTAGATCTCAAGAACAAAAGGAGAATCTATTGCCTTTGGAAGAGGGGCCAGGTCTCTTATGAAGACTATAAAGATGTAGTGAAGTTATGCAGGGAGAACATTAGGAGAGCCAAAGCACAGCTAGAGCTCAACTTGGCTACAGCTGTTGATAGCAAAAAATATTTTCATAAATTTGGTAACAGCAAAAGGAATATAGGGAAAATCTCCCTCCTTTATTGGATGCAGAAGGAAACATGGTAACTAAGGATGAGGAAAAGGCTGAGTGGCTCAATGCCTACTTTGCCTCAGTCTTTAGCAATGGAACTGGCTGTTCCCTGCACACCCAGCCTCATGAGCTGGGAGATGGGGAGGGGAAGCAGGCTGAGGTCAGCACAGTTGAAGAGGAGGTGGTCAGAGACCTGCTGCACCTCTTGGATGCACACAAGTCTGTGGGACCGGATGGGTTAGACCCAAGGGTGCTGAGGGAGTTGGCAGATGTGCTCGCCAAGCCACTGTCCATGATTTACCTGAAATCATGGCTAACTGGGGAGGTCCCATTGGATGGGAGGGTGGCAAATGTGACCCCCATCTACAAGAGAGGCAGAAAGGAGGATCCAGGAAACTATAGACCTGTCAGTGTGTCCTCAGTGCCAGGGAAGGTCATGGAGCAGGTCATCTCAGGTGCCATTAAAAGTCATATAATGGACAACCAGGGGATCAGGCCCAGTCAGCATGGGTTTATGAAAGGCAGGTCCTGCCTGACAAACATGATCTTCTTCTATGACAAAATGACCCGACTATTGGATGAGGGAAAGGGTGTGGATGTTGTTTACCTTGACTTCAGTAAGGCCTTTGACACCGTTTCCCACAACATTCTCCTGGTGAAACTGGCTGCTCATGGCTAGGATGGGCACACACTTTGGGTAAAAAACTGTCTGGATGGCTGGGCCCAAAGAGTTGTGGTTGATGGAGTTAAATCCAGTTGGCGGCCAGTCAGGAGTGGTGTCCCCCAGGGCTCGGTTTTGGGGCCACTCCTGTTTAACATCTTTACTGATGATCTAGACGAGGGGATCGAGTGCACCCTCAGTCAGTTTGCAGGTGACACCAGGTTGGGTGGGAGTGTTGATCTGCTCGAGGGCAGGGAGGCTCTGCAGAGAGACCTGGACAGGCTGGAGCCATGGGCTGAGGCCAACTGGAGGAGTTTCAATCAGGCCAAATGCCGGGGGCTGCCCTTGGGCCACAACAACCCCCAGCAGCGCTACAGGCTTGGGGAGGAGTGGCTGGAGAGCTGCCAGTCAGAGAGGAACTGAGGGTGTTGATTGACAGCCGGCTGAACAGGAGCCAGCAGTGTGCCCAGGGGGCCAAGAAGGCCAATGGCATCCTGGCTTGTGTCAGCAATAGCGTGGCCAGCAGGGACAGGGAAGGGATCTGACCCCTGTACTCGGCACTGGTGAGGCCGCCCCTCGATTCCTGTGTTCAGTTTTGGGCCCCTCACTACAAAAAGGACATTGAATGACTCGAGCGTGTCCAGAGAAGGGCAACGAAGCTGGTGCAGGGTCTGGAGCACAGGTCGTACGGGGAGCGGCTGAGGGAACTGGGGGTGTTTAGTCTGGAGAAGAGGAGGCTGAGGGGAGACCTCATCGCCCTCTACAGCTCCCTGAAAGGAGGGTGCAGAGAGCTGGGGATGAGTCTCTTTAACCAAGTAACAAGCGATAGGACAAGAGGTAATGGCCTCAAGTTGCGCCAGGGAAGGTTTAGACTAGATACTGGGAAGCATTTCTTTACAGAACAGTGTTGGGCGTTAGAATGGGCTGCCCAGGGCAATGGTGGAATCCTCATCCCTGGAGGTGTTTAAGAGACAGGTTGACATAGAGCTGAGGGACATGGTGTAGTTGGGAACTGTCAGGTTAATAGTTGGACTGGATGATCTTCAAGGTCTTTTCCAACCTAGACAATTTTGTGATTCTTTAATTCTGTGAAATCGAATTAGAAACTCTCCACAGTTTTCTAATCTGCTAGAACAAAATTTATGGTATCAACAGATTCCTTAAAAAATGTTTTCAGGCTTCTGATACATAGTCACTTAAATAAATTGCATAAGCATAAGTAAACTACTGCATAACATTCACCAAAACATATTTTACATTGAAAATGTTTACATATAAAATAGATAAAATTATTATTTCTAACTTCTCTGCA